TGTAAGGTTTGATAGAAATTCGAGTACAGGTCTAGGATTTGAGGTTCAAGGTTGTAGGGTTCACGGTTCACTGTTTGGGGGGTTTGGTTTCAGGAACAAGGAAAGGTCCTGCGAGAGACACAAACCATGCTCCGAACACTCTTGCAGCCCTACATACAGGCAGTGAAAAATACTACAGCCTTCACATCCTGTCTCACTATTTATCTCTCTCCATGGGTGTGTCTCTGCCTGTCTGTCTCTGTCTGTGTGTGTTTGTGTGTGTGTGTGTGTCTCTGTCTGTGTGTGTGTGTGTTTGTTTGGCTATGGCTGCACGACAACGGGCAGGGTTAAGGGCTCTACTCATACGCCTCCCGACCCAGAAACGCGCTCATTATGCTGGTCCTGGCGGAGGCCCAACCACTGTGACGGTGGTGCTGCCAGGAGTAGGGACCCTGGATCCACCGCGCTGGGCCTCAGGCATCTGAGTAGGTCCAATGTTGCACTGCGTGCCCACAAACCAAAGATAGATCGGTGGTTTGATAGATAGATAGATAGATAGACAAGTAGATAGATAGACAGAGATAAATAGATCAATAAATAGATAGTTACACAGCCAGACAGACGCACAAGCAGATAGAACGACCTACAAACACACAAATAGATAGACGGCTCGATAGATAGATCGATCGACACCAAATTATTAAACAGATGGATAGATGGATGGATGGACCGATGGACGGATGAATCGATAAGTAGTTGGTAAGTAGGTGGGAAGGTAGGTAGGTGGGTAGGTAGGCCGGTAGGTAGGCAGGTAGGCAAGTAGGTAGGCAGATAAGTAGGCAAAGTCAGTCGGTGGGCAAGTGGGTAGGTGGGTAGGTTGGGGTCGGGTTGGGTAGGCTATCTCCCAGCCCAGCCCCCACCCGTCCAGCCCACCAGCCAGCCCAGCCCAGCCCAGCACACAACAGCCCTGACTGCCGCACTTACGGCTGGTTATGGCTGGGCGGGTGGGTGGGGGGGGAAAGGAAGAAAAACAGGGTTGTTGGGCTGGGCTGGAAGGGGAAATAGAACCTAAGGGCGACAGCTAAGGATGGTCAAGCATGTTAAAACGATGGACATGCACCGAGAGGCTTCCGAGTGTGCCTTCTTGGCCTCATTCTTGGCCATGAGGCCACGTGGTCAATGCACAAGACTCCCCCCTATATACGTCGACATTGGAATACTACTGACCTTTAAAACCCTAACTGCGGCAGTCAGGGTGTTTTCTCCAAACCTTAAAGACAGAAACTCAATTCGCATCTGAAGATCTCTCAAGTCACCCAAAAAGACTTCAACACGGCAGGAGGCCTACTTCTTCGTGTGTGTGCGTGTGTGAAACTCCTGTTCCGAAAATAATGAGTTGGATGTTCTCATATATATATATATCAGGATGCAAAGCAGATCAAGAGATTCCGTGATGCCAGCCAACGAAGCTAGCGGAATAGGTGGAAGGAGCAATGGACGCATAGCTCTGTACCTGCCTTTCTCTTTAGTCACCGAGAAGATGTGCATCAGTTCATGCTAAATTTTCCAGACTCAAGGCCCCATGCAGTGACAATTTATATTGCATCTAGATCTTCCTCACAGTGATTCTTCGCAAAGGTTCCACAAGTCCACTTGCAATAATCGAATTGTTCAGTTTTTACCGATGAGTAGAACAGAAAGTGGATTCGGAATATCAAAGAACAAGATTGACACGAGAGGATGACAACCGGCATTGACCGGGATCTACATGTGTGTTTTCGGCTGGTAATTCTGACGAAGGGCCAAGCGTGATGGGCATCGCGCCCCGACCCTAAGCTTGTCCAAACATACCCAACAATCTCCCAAGTTCCATCCTCTGGTTCCATACCAAACTACTTTGCAAGCTTCCTTTGATCCTCGAAGGCTAACGCACCCCAATTATACCCACTTCAAGAAAGCACCCAAGCATCTCTGACATGTCATTTGGTGTGTCAGACTATTAGCCGATGCTTCTCAAACTCCAAGATTCTGAAGTATACCCTATGGAAGCTTATTCCAACAAGCCCTCTCAATCCCAGCTTCATTCAACGTGTGAATATCCGAAGCTGATCCAAGCATACCTAACAAGCACCCAATTCGACGACGACAACGGAGAAAGGGTCCGTTACCCAGCAAGCACCCAACGTTACGACGTCGTCGTTTCATGTTGGCTTTGTTCGGAGTCAAGGTTCCTTTCAGTGAACGTTTGTGTCATACATCATCATTTCGTTTTCGTTTCATTTCTTCCATTTGACAGTTCAGGTTCTTTCTTCAGTTCAGGGTTTTCGTTTTCACTTCAATTTTATCACCTATCATTTGCCTTTTACCTTTGCTCAGATCAAATCTGGAGCATGAATTGATGAACCCAGAAGAACAATCTTGCCATGTTGTTCAAGTGTAATCTATTTTTTCAACCACTTCTTCCATTTATTCGCTTCCTCATCAACATTTACAATTTATTTAGCCATGGCTCCTGTATTCAACTTTCATTTCTACGCGCACCCTCGTGGGCGCTCACCCCAGCCAAGACGAAAGCAGCCACTGCAACAGCTGGCTGCATATCCGTCGCGCAGAAAGAGATCTCGCAGCAGACGACGAGATTCATCGTCGTCATCCAAGCCACCAAAGGAGTGGCTTGGACCAAGACAAGCCTCACCGGAGGTTGGACGAGAATTATCTTATCCTCCAGCTCGTTGGTTTGGTGCAAACTTTCAGACTGCCAATGCAAGCTCTCGAGTTGTTGAAGAGAAGCGTCCAATCCTTGCTCTTGAGGCTCCGCCTGGAATATTTGATGAGGTTGCAGCACCCACCACCTCTTCCATACCTCCTCTCAACACCACACCACCACCACCACCTCCTCCTGTTTCATCTTTGTCTTGTGATACTCCTGTCATTGTTTTGCCACCCCATCCACCACCTCCTCCACCTCCTCCAACTTTTCCACCCCCTCCTCAAGGGTTCGATTGGTGGCAATCCTACGACCTTCACATCCATATCATCTCTCGCCCGTCGCAGGGGCGAGAGATCAAAGGCTATGCATCCAAATGTCCAAAGCCAGGGCTCACAACAGCCGCATCCGTAAGGTAGCACTCCCAGCGGGCCGACTCGGCAGGAGCTACAGCTGGTGCATGTCCAGCCGGGGGCGTCAAAGGCACGGCCAGTTCTGCACGCTGGGGTAGAGGGCCCCAGAGCAGGGCTCCGTTCGTCTGGTTCTTCACTTCCTCCATCACCTGTGGACTCAATTTCTCCAAGCCCGGCCTGACGAACAAGTTCACGGGCCTGGGCCTGCGACTCCGTAGCTTCCGCAATTTCCTTTTCCTGGCGCACGGCATTCTTCATGTACTTCTTTTGCTCCCTCATCCGCTCTTCATCTCGGCTTGATGAGCCTCCCTTTGAGCCTTGGCGTGTTTCCGTGCCGCCACTATCCGCCACTGCTTTCGCAAGGCGATTCTCCGCCTTCCGACTTCCGAGCATTGTTGAGAAACTGCTGCAACCGTTGTTCCAAGCTTGCCGGTCGTCCTGACTCAGAACTTTGATGACCAATGCTCGGATGGGCTGGGATGCCGCGCCAGGAACTTGGCAGGAGCTGTAGGAAGGAAATACCGGTTTCCTCCACCTACACCGCACCCCATGCATTCAGCATCATTCAGCACAGTTTGTGGTACACCGCCCACCTGCAACTGCCGTTGCCGGTTTTCTTCAACGAGTTTCTCACACTGATCAAAGTACCACAACAGCAGCAGCACCACCGTCTTCATGTTTGACCAGTTCCTCACAAATACTTAACGATCAGTTTGTTGAGGAGAAAAAGGGAAATCGGAAGGTTTTGCCGGCTCAACGTCCTCATGAAGATGACTTGGCGTAATCGTTTCGGCTTGCAGGTTCTGTTTGATTGAACTATGATTCCATTGTTTGCAGTGTTGTCCCAGCCCTGCTGTTTCCGCGGGTGGTTTCTCGATGTTTCTCGGTGATTTGGTTCCATGCCAAAGCTGCCAGTTGGCACTTCTTCTGCACCACCTCCCGATGGCTTCTTCTGGTTCTTGCTCATGTCAGCAAAGTGCACTGGGAGTTTTCCGCCGCTTCCAGATCCGCTTTCGCACACGCGTGCAGCCTGCACGCGGCGATGCCAAGAGGGTGAAATCGGCGTGCTCCACAAGCCACGTAGGCAGAGCACGGGGCTTTACAGCAATTCCACCGTTCGTGGAGTATCTACTCCACAGCTGGCATGAATGTTCTGAGCCCTGACACATACATACATGCATACATACTTACATACAAGCATATACATACATGAATACATAAGATGTTGGGGAGAAGTTTCCGACGGAGGTGATTACAGATCCTGGCCTGAAGTTCGTTGGCGTCGGGAATTATCTCATTGAGCAAGATCCTGAGAGAGAAGTCCGCATGCACACAGCGACGCAGCTCTGCAGCAGTCGTTTTTTCTGCGTTGTCAGGTTTCCTGCGACCTTTAACACTATGTACTTTATTCAAGATGGACGAGGTGTGGCTGCATGCCGCATGCAGTGATCTACAAAATTGGGATGCAATCAAGAGCGACTGGAGCGCTCCAAGACTTTGTAGGAGTTGCTGGAGCATCTGTTCCGGAGCTTTTTGAGCCGATGTTGCGTGGGCCGATTCGTGCGCGATCAGCAGATGGGCCCAGCGCTCAGCGGCATACAGCTCCTTTTCGGCGGGTGGGGTTGGTTTGGGTTGACTTGCATTGGGTCGGGTGAGGATTGATCTGACTGGGGGAGGTGGGTCAAGGTGGATTTTGTGTGGATGGGATCCACGACTTTCTGATGTCAGAACTGTCAGACATGGTCAGACTACCCCTGCTCCTCTCTTTTTGTTGCCAGCTCGTAGTCATGACAGGAAGAGCCAGGCATGGCTAGAAAAGCTCGCTTAGGGGGGAAGCTCTTGCAGTAAGACCCTGGAACGATAAAGTCAGTTCCTGCGTGCTCTTCCTTTGTTCCCAGCATACTCCTCCTGGGCACGCCTGCACAGAGTTGTGCCGGATGTCCAGCTTGCACTATGTCCATTGTAAGTCGATCAATTCTTGTATCAGGTTGAGTGAGGTTTCACAGTTCTTATGATGGCTAGTAGCTGGTACACGGCAGTACCTCTCATGTCGAATAACAGGCTCATGGAGCCCAAAGCGGACCAAACAATTTGATTGATGGAGCCGGAAGCTCGCGAGAATGGCTGATTTAGACTACAGTGCCTCTCCTTCCAGTGACACCCTGCCACAGCCAAGCAAGACCAATGAATCCGCGACAGATTTCTGTGCGAGTGACGAGTTGGCTTGCCTTGCGCTGACACAAGATGCCACCAGTGTAAAGTGGTTGTCCTGCAAAGCATGCTTGGCGCATGCTGCACGTCCATTTCTATGGATGATGTACCGAGTGAAGGTGATGGAACGCGAAGGTTCGAGTGTTTGAGCGTTCAACGGTCTGAAGGTCGAAAGTGTTAAACCTCGAACCTTTGGTTTGAAAGGCGGTGGGGTTCGAAGATGTTCGAAGGTTTGAACACGATGGTATGTGCCATCGGTGTCGAACTTGGAAACTTTCAATCTAGAAAACCCTGAAGCTCTTTTCCGTGGCCGAGTGCGATCGCGCCGCTCAAAGCTGGAAGATCTGAAGTTTGAGAGGTTGTGACTTCGAAGGAATGAAAGTTTTCATCACTGGGGAAAAAGTGCTAACCTATGACGCCTAGCCTCCTTGCTTGATAAACGATACATAGTTCTGGTAGATCAAGCCCTCTCAAAATGCATGCTCTCCAGCTCAAACGATCACTCTTTCGAGCCTTCGAACAGTTCGTGCTCCCAACGGTTCAAGCTTTGAAACTTGGTAGTGATCCTCTCAAGCTACAGGCCTTTCCAAACTTGAAGCCTTGAATCTCTCCAACTCTTTGAAACTTTCAGCCTTTCACCTGCCTAGAATCCTAGAAGCTAGGACTCCTTAAATTTGAAACTTCAACCTCTCAAACTTTCAATATTCGAAGTTCGAAGCAATGTGTGGACGTGTCCACATGCTCCGCCCCACGCCCGTCACACAGCATACGTCGCCGCGGCTGCAGACTTTCAACCTGAATTCCGGATCAGACCTTACAATTATTCAGTCCCGAAACGTTCAGACTCCGAACTTTTTTCATTCTGAAAGGTTTTTGAACTGTCGAAAACTTTCACACTCACTAGTCTGGCCCCCCACGTGGTGCAATCAAACTATCCAACGACTCCTTCGAAAAAACCTGCTCGTGACACCCATCGTGTCTACCCCTTGGACCCTTGCTCGACCAAAGCTTCTCGAGCTTCTTTTGTTTGAGGTTGGAGATGCTGGTGTCCGTGTCGTTTCAGTGGAGGCTGAGGCGCTGCAAGTTCGTTGATTGCACCCATCCCAGGCTTGCAAAGGACCAGCAGACTTTCAGGTCTGACGCGCTGAAGGATCTCTACAACATCTTGGGAGAAACCATGTACAGGGACCGGCTTTAGGTTTGGGGTCCTGTCGATTTTGGGCATGGCATAGGCACTGTTTCATTTGGACATTGGCAGTTCCGAAGCTCACAAGCTGCCGCGAGTAGTAGGCTTGCCACTGCGAGGATGAATTTGTCCGCTTTGCCCGGGCAGCTATCATTGAGTCCTGCTCTTTGTTTACGGCCGATCAGCCCAGCCTGCTGAAGTTGGGGCTGTGCGATTTGTCACAGTGAGTATGGCTTGGGAACATCCATGGGGTGCTCCGTTTCAGGTTTACACTTCCTTTCAAAATGTCGGGAAGCCATCACTTTGACGTTGCCAGATATTTCACGGAGCGCACGACGATCACGTCGAAGATGCTGGAGGTGATCATGATACTCCTGCTGAGTGTCATCTCTGCATGGAAAGCCAGGTGCTTCAATCGAACTTTGACAAGCCGGAGCTTGGACTAAGAATGGAGATCACGGGCCTCCAGCTGCGAGAGGCTTGCCTGGTGAAGCATGCTTAAGTTTTCTGATGAATTTGGCCAGAAATTGTTCGACAGGTTGACCTGCCCGACGACTATGACGACGAAATTGAGAACACGCAAGAACAAATGCAGGAGGTAGGCAGTCCATGCGATTACCTATTTAGCTATGGGGTGGTCACGTGGTACAACCGTTTCTCATATTCAATCTCGCTTCTGTTTGGACTGTACGCGTGCAACACAACCAGTTCACCGCAAAACTCTCATGAATGATGCCCAGGCCCTCAAGCGCCATGCGAAGCCTTGAGACATCTCAAGACATCATGGCACAAATCTGAAACACTCCGCATGCTGCAACCAACTTGATAGATTCTTGCCGGACCTTCGTGTGAAGATGCTGACATGAGACGATGACAGTAGCAACGAAATATGGATGTTGTGTTCCGCAGCATGCTCAACTGAGATGCAGGTTGAGGTGGGCAAAGCTGAGCGTCAGGACCCGGCCAGAATGTGTTGGCACGATTTCCCTAGTGCTTGAATTCAGCAGCAGCCTCGCAACAGGAGCAGATCATCATCAAGGAAGCAGAGAAGCTAGTTGCGATTCAGCAGGTAGGATTCCGTGCTGCGCCTTGAAGATGCGCATTGGACGCTGCAGTCTACGAAGCCCCTTGCAGCGATTGCCGCAAGAAAGCATGCTGAGTGCGCAAGCTTCGGCATCGCAAGAAGCCATTACAACCGGCAGGTTGAGGAGCTTCTAAGAGGAGCGAGAGGATTTGCACGCAGAATCGATCTCCAAAATCAGGCAGCGGGTGCTTGTATGTGCTTGTGCCTTGTGCACCCCTGTCCTGTCCTTTGCCGAAACCCAGACCCGAGACACAAAATGGCTCAAAATGGCAGGCTACAATCACTCAGCTGAAGCTGGTGCAGCAGAAGCAAGCCGAGGCACAGCGCAATTGGAGAATGTTCTCTGTGGACAGTGGCATCATGTGTTGTCGAAACCATTTTAGAGATGAAAAGCGAGCCCAGACATGGCTAGACTGGAGTCTAATTATTAGAGTGTTGTACAACGAAATCTACTGGAACATGATAGAAGAGCGGCCCAAAGTCACCCGACGCAACAGACAACAAGATCACATAAGACAGGATCATATATGATAGTGGCAATGGTACAGTGGGCTACCATTGACTACCATGCATATATACCTCCATTGAAATACACATGGGTATGGATGTCTGTCGAAAGACGTATGCATGTACACGTGTGTGTGTGTGTGCGCGTTTGTGTTTTTTGTAATCGTCGACAATCCATTCAGTCTACTGATCTTTTGAAGTTCGAATCTAACGCCAAAACCTCCTGTTGCTGTGTATCTGTCAATCTGTCCGTCGGTAGCTCTGCACATGTGCGCATTCTGATTTATCCTGGCTTTTCCTGTCTCAAACGATCGCGCCCAACCTCGTTCATCACCGCAAGCCTTCTAGTCTTAGTCTAAATCTTGTTCCTTCACGCGCAGACCCCCTCCAGATCTGACTGGACGAAGATGCGGTGCTTTCAGCTCGTGGCACGGAGGAGACAATGATTTTGGACCGCTGCCTGAGTGCGCCGCCCCACCTGCATCCTACATGCAAACGATTGTATAACACACTGGCCAGCAGGGGGTTGCCCATCTGGATTATCCATTGATATGCAGACACTGGTGCACAAGACATCCCTAGCCGGTGGCTTGATGTCAATTCAAGACTGGGTCGTGTCAAAGGGGAGCATTCCGCTACATCGTGTTGTGTGCTGGTCCTTCTTATCGCCATCCGAGGAGCTGAAACTTCACTCATGGACTGCGTGTCGTCTCCACTTGGAACCGGGGGGCGGCTGTAGCCGGAGCAGTCAGCACCTGCCATAGCATGGCCAGGCAACTGAAGAAAATGCACGAATATCATAATTATTGTTGTTACAATGCTCTGTTGTTGATATACATATATATATATATGTATACATATATGTATGTGTATATATATATATACACATACACGCTGCTGAGGGTCTTCTGCAATGCAGCTGCAAAGCCGATCAGGGGCATGATCGGTCAGATCCAGCACAACTCGGCCAAAACGCAGACAAGCGAGCGGGGCCAAAGCACGTAGCACTCACAGCCACATCCTCCACGTGGCTGTTGGTTTGTTTTTGAGGGGAGCTGCGGAAGGCGCACTTCGGGCCGTGGTCTGGCCTGTGCGGCACCAGAGCTTCTGGATCTTCGGGTTTCAGCCTAGGCGTGGATTTGCGAATCCTTGGTGGCTGGAAGCTGCAGCGCCTGACTAACGGCCTGGGAGACGTTTCTTCCTTCCAGATCGGAAGGTTTTGTACTGTCGACCATGTGTAATCCTAAACATTTGCACTGCTCCAGCCCGGCGATCGGGCTGGTGATTGTTCGGGTGACTACGATAAGGTTGTCAAACTTTACGCAGATGATTCGCTCGACCACACGTTCACGTCGCAAGAGGAGCGTGCGTGACCATGAGCCGGTTCAATGGGGGGTGGCTTGGATTGTAGTCTTTTGAACATGGCTTACTTATGAAACGCCAATGTCTTGATTGTGTTCAGGATGCTCACCATGTAAATACTGCCGACAGCACGAGTTGCGCTGACCATGTGCGAGTGCTAGCGGTAGCAGAGCGAACACATTCAAGCAGTTGTACAAGTGGTTGGTTTATTTCAATAGATGTACTGTGACTGTTCGCAGAACACAGAGGCCTGCCGAAATGGCATGCTCGCTGGAGCCGCTGCCTCTCTTCATCGAGGAAGTGCACTAAGTCCAAGCATTCCGCCTTTAAAATGACAGAACATGCATTTTGCCGCAGGTACGGCATGCACGGCACTGACTAACACATACGGTCGTTAGACTAAATGCTGGTGCACCAGCACTTGCGACTGGTTGCAGTCCACGTACGGCCGTTCCTGGGCACATTCCCACGGACCGGGAGTACTGTAGTATATGTAGTTCTAAGTTGATAGCGTCTAAATAAGAACACACCAACACACCAGCCCCTGAATACTTTTTGGACATGGAGTTCGAAACGAATCGCGATGAATTTCGGAACACATGTGACGTGACGACTGGTGAATTGTGTTCCGTGCATGGTTGGCGGAGCTCCCAACTGAATGCACGATGATGACATACGAGCGAGCATGCCCTTTGAATGCATGATTGACGGTTGGTAGCAAAGGTATAGCAGTGTTTTTGCAGCACAGCGAACATGCAAGCGGGAAAGCAGCAGCGCCTTTGCAGGAGGCCTTAGGAAGGGATGTGCCTGCGTAGAGGGCCTAGATTAATGTACATGCCCAAAAAGAGATGTACAGAGAGAGCCGAATATCGTCGCAATTCAACACTTCAATGAGGCAAATGCGGCAATCCTTCAGCAGTTTGCAAACGAGACACAGGCCTTTGACAGGCCTGCACAGAGTCTCCACGTCGTTTGAAGTGGCCGTTACTGGCCATCAGACCAGTGCAAGCAGGCTGTTCGAAGTTATGGAGATTCGTGCTCTCGAAGATCATGAAGCAGAAAGGATGGCAGTGAGCCTGTAAGGTGCACCTTTGAGAGCACTGCAGAACTGCTGAACAAAAAGCAGGTTCTCAAGATAGATGGCTCCATGTGGCTCCCAAGGCTCTGGAGGCGAATGCGCGGTCAAAACAACACAGTCTCTCACCGGAGACTTGGGCCACGTTGAATTCGGCAGATGCATGCCTGGCTTGGTATTTTGCAAAGTGGCAACAAACTGCCGGTGCTGTACAATCCGTGGCTCAGCCTGAACCTGTAAGGGATCGGAGTCTGAAGCCATGACAGCCACCAAGCTCGCGCAGACGTGTTGAGGATGTTCTCAGGGCCTCAATCAAAGTCAGCAGTCTCACCCTCAAGACTCCATGAGCCAGACTCCTTCCGCATGTGCGGACCGATGGTGGCTCAGCAAGAAGCCGCTGTCATTTGCTATGAAGTGAAGTCTTAGAGTCACCACGGAAGCAGCTTCAACTCTCAATCAAGGCGACATCAGCACTGCCTGTCTGCGATTCGAGCTTCGCAAGAACTGTCCCAACATGCCACCTTGTGTTGCAGCTAAGGGTCGCAGGTACCTTTTCACTTACAGCTATAACTCTAAGGCTCTAAGTCATACACTGCAGGAATTCCAGGCTTCTCCCGTTGTTTCCTCCATACGCTAGTGCCATGTCATGAAGGGCAGCCGTTCCGGCAGCCTGAGCTTTGGAGGAAATTCGACTGTCGAGCTGCCATGGGATCTGCCACCTCCTCCGCAGGTTGCTCCTTCCATCGAAGACGTGAATGGCAAGGACTCTGGCAAAGCCGAGAAGGAGCTGACTTCTGCAAGGCCCTTTATGCAAAACGGCAGCTCCAAAGCCGATTTCGGCGAGGTGAACATGGCATTGGAGGCTTTGCCTTTGAATTTGCCACCTCCACCTCAGCCACCGCCTCCTCTGTGGCAAGCAGGCAAAGCAGCTGTAGACACATGCCCGTGCCCCTGCAGTGGGCATAGCAGCAGTCAGTGCTCCAGACCCTTTCGTCCTTCTGGGCGGAATCCCTGGGAGAGCCCAGCCAGTCTGCACGAGCAAGACTGGGAGCACAAGGCCAGAGAGTTCTTCAACCCAGGCATTCAGGCTGAAAAACCGGAGTTTGACACTGCAGCTATGCAGAAGTGGGGTGAGGGTATCGAGGGCCTTGCCGACCTCTCACCGCTGAGCAGTCATCAGAATTTGAATGCCGTTGAATCGCAGATCTTCGGCGAATGGCAGTTGCAGGCCAGGGAGGCGTTAATAAACGAGACGCTCGATGACATCACTTTCGTGCAGGAAAGCTATGCGGCAGCAGAACGAGATCTGGAGTGGCGTAAAGCCACGACCATGTCCAAGCGTCAGCAGATTGAAACCCGGCAGGCGGAGCTGGCCGTTTATCAGAAACGTGTGCAGGTCCAGGAAAAGGACGTCGTTGCGGATGAAGAACTCATCCGATGCAGAGAAGCACAGCTTGACGCCGATGCACAGCATTTGAGACGATGTGAAAATGCTTTGAAGGCGGAAGCCAAACGAGTGAAGCAAAGACGAGATGACTTGGACAACAGTGAGCCCATGCTCCAGCGCAAGGAAGAGGAGCTCGTTCGCATGCAAGAAGAGTTAAGCAAGCTGGAAAAGGAAGTCTCAGAAGCAGAGCAAGAGATTCAGCATCGGAGTGCAGATATTGCTTCTGCAGAAGCCCAGCTTCGGCGTCGAAGGGCGGAATTGAGCTCACGCCACGCAGAGGTAGCAGGCGACAGGCGTGTGTTGAACGGTCGCGAAGCTGAACTTCAACATTCGCATGTGTCGCACCCGCCTGGTCCCGACGCAGTGGTGGCACAGGTGCCACAGGTGCCGTCGCTTCATCCCCAGGTGCAGAGCACGCCTCAGGCGGCCGTTGCAACAGCACCGTGTGCACCTGCGTTTGCTCAGCCTTTTGTGCCTTCTCCAGTCCCGCCGACACCGGTGGTTGCACCTCCGATGCTTGCTCCTCCCACTACTCCCGCACCTGCTGATCCAGTTCAGCAAAATTTGGCTTTGCAGCTCCAACAAACACAGCAGATGCTACAGATGCAGCAGATGCAGCAGCTCCAGCATTTTATGAAGGGTGGCTTTGGAGATGATGTGAAGGAAAAGGAGAGAGAAAACAAATTGCAAGTCCTGGAAGAGACGGTCCTCGAGCGACTGGAGGCCTTAGAGAGGCATGAGGCCGCTCTAGCTGCCGTCATGGCTGCTGCAGCTCAGGCAGCAAAAGAAACTCAAGAAGCGACAGCAGCGATTGTCAGCCAAAGCACTGAAGCGGCCGAAGACACTGCAGCAGCGATTATGGCGAAAAGCTCCGAAGTGGTTCGAAGTGCAGTGCAAGACATGACGGAAGCATTGGCTGTCAGGGAACGGGAGGCGCAGGAAGCACTTCAGGCTATGACCAATAGGTCAGCCATGTCTGGCGTGAAGGCTCCGGTCAAGACGGTGCCGGTGCATCAGAACGTTGAGCCTTTGCCGCAGCCTTCCGTTCAGACGTGCACCAGTGAACCTGTACAGCAGGCGGCTCCAGCGATGCCTGTGTCTGTGGCTTGCAACACAGACCGACTTGATCTGCCCGAGAACGTTGAGGAGGCACTTTCGTCTCGGCCTGAACCACACGCACAACGCGACCGCGATCCAGAAAGCTGGACGGACGGGCACGCTTCCGCAACTTCGCTCAGGAATGTCTACGAAGCTCTGCAAGGCCAGCACCAAGCACCGTTGGCACTGGTTCGACCCATCGGTGCAAGAAGGGCTGCCTTGCGTGAAGGATCAGGTATTGAGGAGGTGCAGACCTTGGCTTCGACTGCGGCCTTTTTGCGCGGAGAGCAGCCTCAGCTGGGAGGTGTGCAAGACGGTGGCGAGCTATGGTGTGGGGAGAGTGACATCACTTCAATCGCTGCCCACATGGACGGACAGGATGCTGAGCCAGTGAGGCTGACCGAAGAAAGCATGCTGGACGAACAGATCATGAACAGAAGCAGCATTCTGCAACGCACAGAGGCAGACGAAATGAGTGAAACGAACTCGGCGAGCGAGCCTAGCCCTATTCAGTCCAAGGCGCCAGCAGTGGCCTGGGAGATTAGCCTATCTGATTGGCCTCGTACTACATGTCAGAGGCCACCCGGTCAGAGCCCAGCAGAGTTGGGCAAAAAGCGGATGTACAAGGCCCAGGAGGCAGCAAAACGGCAGGTTGAGGGACCAAAACCGCCCGGGCCGACCAGGAGCAAAGCCACCACGACCAAGACTTCGAGAGCTGAGGAGCTTAGCTATCGCCCCAAGGACGAATGTGCTGCAAGGAAATCACATGTTTTGTGAAGCAGACCATCGGCAAGTCATGTAGATCGGTAGAATGGTAGAACTCCATCACTTGCGATTTGCAGGATGCATCCTCGATATGGCGAGGTTCGAGAAGCTTTGCAACTGCACAGCGTGCTAACAGGAGTGCAAGCACTTTAACGCCTTCCGAGTAGATCCCTACATATCCCCAGCCAATCGATCTGGTCAAAGGTGGGACCCATTTTGCGATTGTGGATCCGGGAAATTTGGATGCTGGGCAGGGGATCGTGCAGCCTAAGCGTCTAGATTTCAGGCAATTTGATTTGGATGGGAGCAGAGCACGATGGAGCCTACAGTCCGGATGTGCTATCCGCTGCAGGAAGCCAGCCGCTTCCACATCGCAAGGGCAAGCTGGTCGCTGAGCTCCAGCCGACATGATACCATCCTCGTGCTACAAACTGAAGGACTCAGGCTCCTGTTCTGGGAGATGTGACGACGCCACATGCAACGTACGCCGAGCCGACGTGTTCTATGTCCAAGACGAGGTTGACTTGCAGAGCCATCATCAGAGGCTAGCATGTTGGCCCGCATAAGCTCGGATCCAGCATGGACAATACTGGTGCAATAGATGCACCTGTTAATGATGAAGGTGCTCTTGGTGCAGCAGCCGCAAATGCTGCTGCACCAGTTTGCTGCTGAGCAGCAAGTCGTTCTGCGAGCAGAAATCGTCCGGACCGTAAGCATGCGGCATGTTTGACCTGGCCACGCAGGCAAGTATCGAGGATTCGGCAAAGCGTGCAGTGGCGTATGTGCTGTCCCAGGGGTTCTCTCGGATTGGTCACATATCAGTACTGGAGGGCTCGAGGATCTTAGCCTTAGAAATATGTGGGATCGTTTATTCTGGGACTCAAGCTTGCCAGTGTCTAGCTATCTTGCTGTCGGAGCTGTACGCACACTCTTAAACTGCACTGTCGGCGACAGAATCTCAGAAGTTCCGTGCCATGGCTGCCACCGCTGCCCCTTCTTTGAAGGCATGGAAAGCATATTGTCGTTCTTCTTCCATGCTGACATTATGCCATTATGCATCGTGACAGGCTGGCAGGGAAAAAAAGAATTGGCTGATCAACCTGCTGTATGTTCGGCAGGCACGTCGATGGCAGTGCCTTATGCATACCCCTTCAGCGCAGATAGTACGAGATTCATGCCAGACTTTATTGCTGAGGCTCACGGGCTTAACATACATCCTAAAGCTTTGCTCATATTGTCATAGTTGACTTTGTTATTTTCTCGATGTGCCGGCTCGACTTGCAAGATGATCTAGACAGTTTCCAGAACAAAGCCAAACCCGGTTTGACACGCAGGAGTTCAAGGAATGTATGGATGTAATCGAAGAGCAGCTGCGAGAATCAAACGGCATGCCGCTGCCTTAGATTGCTTCAATGTTGCAACTACAGGGCAGCCGAGCAACCTCCAGCATCGGGGGTCGCTGCAACGAAAACATTGGTTAGCCAGCAATCCGGACCTGCGCCGGCTGTAGCCGTCATGATTTGTCGCGGGTGGGCTGGAGGGAAGCACTTTCTTTGCAACTTGAGTGAGTCAATTTCTTTTTCGGTCCTTCTCCAAGAACGGACAGTCGTAGCTCAGACGGCTGTCCTAGTTGAGAGCATGTTGCCCCTTCAATTTGGCGCTTGCTCATGCTTGCTCCAATGCATGCTCGCATGAAGCAGGCAAGAAGCGTTTAAGCGTTGTGTCCAGGGGAAGCCCTGAGCCTCCAGGTCAAGGCATCAGGGCCCGATCCAGCAGGCAGTCGTTGACGTCCAGCTCCGCCATATTGAATTGAAGGTAGGGGACCTAATCAAGCCAAAGCCATGCAGCCAAGGGCAGATATTAATTTATATACCTCGCAAAGCAAATGCTGCTCCAACAAGCGCATGCATATTGCGATCAAACACCTGTGCTTGGTACTGCACGTCAATTGAAGCCGACAAGCCGGCAGAAGACTGTTAGGACATGCTTACAACGCCGGCGATGAAGCAGTGTTCGGTTCAGGACGTCGCTTGCAGAATGGAGCCGCAATCCTCAAGATACGAGTAATTTTGTGATTTGGTCATGTCTTGTCTCAGCGGTCTGTAGCGTCGGATCGTTTGATCTTCAGCCTTTCAGTTATTCAGTTATTCGCGTATATTCGCGTCCAGTGTGTTGCAGTCAGGCGCCTTGCGAATTCCCAGCTCACCTTTCTGTCCTCGTCCTAACTACATGATGCAAGCGTGTGTGTGTGTGTGTGGGTGGGTGGGTGGGTGGGTGGGTGGGTGGGTGGGCGGGTGGGTGGGTGGGTGGGTGGGCGGGCGGGTGGGTGGGTGGGGGGGGGGGGGGGGGG